GTAGGCCTGACATGAAGGCACACGGGGCTCTCTGGTTATGGACTGGAGCAGCAAGCAGGACTCACAGGTGACCTGCAGTGTGACGCTTTGCTCCTGGGTCTCTACAGATACGCTGTTGTAGGACAGACAGCTGAGCTGAGCTCCCTGGTCTTCAGGTCGCACCGTCATCACCAGCACACTGCGGGCCACTGACTGGACATGCTCTGTGCCCCAAGCTATGGCCACTGGCTTACCGTTCTGAACACAGAAGCAAGCCCAGTTATCTCAGCACCAGCTCCTGGTCCCTGTCCTCTCCCCCAGTCAGCCTCCACCCTCACCTTCAGCCACTGCAGGGTAGCGGGTGGATTTCCGCCTCGGGCCACGCAGGGCAGCTCCAGGTTCTGCCCTGCCCGTACATGGCCCTCATCCAAGCCTGGCCAGTCAATGACAGGAGGTCCTGGGGGAACTGGAGAGCAGAGACCACTCAGTGGGCCTGGGAAGCCATCTATTCTCCCTGGGCCCCCTAACCTGCTTTTAATTTCCTCCTGTGGGCGAGGGAGATGGCTCAGGAGGTCACTTGTCAATGAACCCAACAGCCTGACTTCAATTCCTGTAGCCTGCACGGTAGAGGGAGAGAACTAACTCCTGAAAGATGTTCTCTGACTTCTCTGCATGGCTGGCACACTCCCACCCAGTCTCTAGCTATTTGGCCACGTAACTGGGACACAAGACCTGTTTTATAGAAGAGCAAAGGGCGTGACAAGAAGTGGTGTTTCCAACAGCTGAGGAGGATGTTCAAACACGTTAACTGCCCCAGCAAGACAGTCACTCCCAATTTCCATGAATGTCGGAGGAAGAGACAGCAAACACACACACACACACACACACACACACACACACACTCACACACACGTAATCACCACCACCACCACAAACAACAATAATAATAAATCTTAAATTTCTCTTGCATGCCTGCCTTTTTTTTCCCAATGCTGGATGTTAAATCCGGGTCCTTGCACGTCCAGGGCTGGGTTCCCCTGCTGGGCTGCAATGCCCAGCCCTCAGCAGCCCAGGCTGGCCTTACGTTCCTTCTGCTTCCACCTCACAGAAACTGAGATTGTCCCTTACCTCTGCCATGCTCCCAAATCCTACCGGGATGTGCCCACGCTCCCCCACCCTTCACTTACACAGAACATTCATGGTGAAGGAAGCCTTGATGGGCGTGTCCAAGGCTGGACTGGACCCCGCACAGACCAGTAACTGCCCATTATCTGAGCTTCGGGGTGTCACCCTGGCTTGGAAAAATAGAGGTTTCTGGAGTCGGAGTCATCATCTGAAATTCTGGGAGCCAGGATAAAGAGGAGGGCAACCCAAATTCCTACATTTGGCCAAGCCTCCATACTGATTTATTCTAAGGTCTGGACTCCCTGGGAGAGATTTGGAGTTGAACACTGAGAACAAGGGTGCCCCAGGTCTTCACCTGGCCTGATAGTTTTACTCAATACCTACAGACTGGAGTCAGGGTGAAGCATTGGGTCCCAGGTATTCCTACAACTCAAGTTGCCATACTGGCATCATTGGGGACAACCTGGAGATGGGGACAGGGAGAAAACCCCAGCTTGCACACCTAGCTTCAGCTTCTGCAATGAAGAGCTTCTCCTCAGACCCGTCGTTCACGTTATAGGAGACGCCCAGGATGGTGTCTCCACCTTGGGAGAACAAGAAAGCTGGGTAGAGGGATGCTGGACTTTTCTCCAAGGTGCAGTATCGTGACCTGGAAATCCTCAGGGTGGATATGGAGGACAAGAAGCTGGGGTACCAGTTCTGTCCTCCCACACACTCAGGACCCCCTGAGTTGAGTGCTAGGGTTCTCAGGGCTGCATCATGGGCCTCTCTTTCCCCTGACTCCACTGCATCAGGTGCTTTTTATCCCTGTCAGGCCATTGTTACTCAAATCCCTGAGAGCTGACACCCTCTCCCTACCTCGGATCAGCGTCTGTGTGGTCTCCTGGGTGTGTCTTTCCACAGTTCCCTTTTCTTACCCAGCACACTCATGTTGGCCTCATTCCCTGGGTGGTACTCAGGGATAACACTCACCCTGGATGAAGGTGATGTCAGGTGCTGGCTTCGCGTCCCCAGACACACAGGTGACCACATACTCCTGACCAGCTACCCAGGTAACTGTGCTTCCTTCCTCGGGGGTCAACTGAAGCACCTTGGGGGGAACTGTCGAGAAAGGGCTTGGGATTAGCCACTGCCGAGAGGCAATGTGACGGTTTTGGCCAAGAGTTCAGGAAATGGGACCCAGAGCTCCAGGTGGAGGAGCTTGGGAGCTTGGACTTGTGGGTCTGAGGGAAGAAGAGGCCTGGGGCCCAGGTTGGTGGGTCCTGGAGGGGAGCCTCTCACCCATACCTAAGATGGAGAGGATTACTTTGGGAGACAGGAGCTCAGGACCAGTCTCTGAGCGGCCCACTTGACATTCATACTCCGCGTCATCACTGAGGTCACAGGCTTCTATACGCAGGTGGAATTCACCTGCAGACAGAGCCCCCACGGTCAGGGCCATAGCCTCTGCTGCTAGTGGCTCAAGATCTCAGGTTCTGGTCACTCACCTTTGGCAGGATCTCCTTCTAGGCTGTACCTTGGGAAGCCTGGGATCCTGGGGTTTGGACCCAGGAGTAACCCATCCTTAGCCCACTGTACAATACTGCCAGGGGCACTGACCCCACACCGCAGCTTAACTGTTGTCCCTTCCACTGCAGTCAGGTTGTCAGAGACAGTCCAAAAGCCCCGAGGAACAGAGGTAGGGATTGATGACAGGGTCAGTCCTGGGGACACAATGGGATCCACAATAAGAGACAAAGGTGGCACTTGAGGGCCACAAGGCACAAGGCCAGCGTTCTACTCACCCGTGGTCAACATTCCCATGAGCAGCCAGGGAGTCAAGCTGGAAGTCCTGGGTATTGGGGTCACCCCAGGGCCTCTGATGGAGACTTCCTTAGTGCCCATCGCCAGCCTCTTGGTTTGTTGTTGTCTGAGCCTCACTCTCTGCTCCCTGTTTTCTTTCTTTTTCTCTTTTTCAGACTCTCTCTCTTCTTAGACTGCTCTAGTATTTGTGTCTTGGAGTCTTTCTGCCCTTAGCTTGCCCTGTCAAAGGTTCTTTCTCTGAGTTCCAACCCCAAGCAGTCAAAAACGCATACTCTCTCTCTTTCCTTTTCTCCTCTGACAGTCTGTTCCTACCTATTGCTATCTCCCTCTCACCCACTCACAGGAACTCAAAGAGGATCGGCTGCTCAACTGTTTGCTGCTGCCTGGGGGTCCAGCAAGCTCACGAACCCAGAAAGCCAAAGCAGGCAGTCACAGTGTGGAGCTGTTTCTTGGGCCCAGTGTGAGCGCACCCTGTTGCTTCTCCTGAGTCCTTCCGAGTCTGCCCAGCAGAGCAGTGAAATCCCCTGTCAGCACATGCCAGCCACCTGCTTTGGTGCCTCCCCAGCCCCAGTGCCCCCTGCCTGGGAGAGCAGGGTCATCTCCCGGCTCAGGACGTGGTGCAGAGCTGGGTCTGTGTGGGTGGGAAGGACACCCCCACCCCACCCCATTCCAGCCCGCCACCCCCACCACTGCCGAAGACACCCTTGCTCTTTGCAGTCCACACTTCGGCAGTCCCTTTTTTCCCTCGGTGGCATCAGACACTTCTGCTGGTGAATTTGTCAGAGTGTTGTTTGAAACCATGAGCCTGTGGGAGAGAGAGAAGCCAATTGTGTGTGTGGGCGGGCGTGAGAGTGTGGTTGTTCCGGGGGAGGCAAGAGTGGATTTTCATCTGTGAACATTTTTGGAGTGTCTTACACGGGTGTGCAGAGCGCCAGTAGGACCATGCCCGAAGACCGCAGTGTGTGTCCACCCCGAGATCTCCCACAGTTAAACACAGAGTGGAGGTCTCTGGGAGCTGGGACATCTGACTCTCGAGGCCATGGGAGAGTCCTTCTGTTCTCCTTACCTCCATCTCTCCTTTCTCTCTGCGTGTAGCTCTCTAGCCGGGGTGCTTTATCTTCTTATTCTTCTCCATCTCTCTGATGCCCTCTCCTCCTCCTCCTCTCTCCTCCCCCTCCCCTTCTCCTTACTGTGACTCTTACTGCCCTCCCCCACTGTCACTCAGTAACGGGAACTCAATATATACTGTTCGCAGTCAGCCTGTCTCTGTGCCTTTTTCATGCAGGTCCCTGGCTCTAGGCCTGATTGTGACCCTTGAATTTTAGAACCATATGTTGGCTTGCAAGCCTTCCCCACCACCCCGGGGGCACAGCTGCATTGGTCTGGGATAAGCCCCTTCTGCCTGCTTATCTCCTGCAGGAATTGCAACTGTGCCTACCCCCCATATGCCCTACAAATCCCCAACCCCACCGAGGTCCTTCCTCCAGGAGGCAGTCCCGGCCTCTGGCCAGAGCCCCCCCCCCCCCTCTTTCTACAAAACCCCAGCCCTCTGGTCTTTCTCTCCCACCCACGCCCATTATCGATTCATTGCCCTCCTTCAACATACCGTTCTCTAAACCCCTCATCACCTCCTGGGAAATGGATTGCATACAGACCTAACGGATGGAGGGTCTGCCATGGGGCCTTTACCAGATGGTACCCTTGGAGGCCAAGGTGTAGAGCTGTCGGTTGCTGGAACCCTTAATTAGTACAAACCTTTTACAATCAACCTTGGCTGTTTTCCTGCTCCGAATGCTCTGGGGGACTCTGGGCTCTCCATTTTTCCATGCCGGTGGCCCCAGAGTGCCAGGAAGGGAAGCTATGTCAGGTGTCTTTGGAAAAACACCTTATCACCTGACTTCCTCCCCAAGACTGAGAAGTCCTGGGCTCAAGCCTGTCCTATTTCAAAACACAGAAGCAGGGCGTTCAGATTTCCCAGAGCCAGGCGTGGGGTCTCCCAGGGCCTTCATCCCCAGCTCCCCCGCCCCCACCTCTCCTGTAGGACTCAGCACAGCTGTTAGTATGCCAATCCTCCTGGGCCAGTGGGGGGTGAGTGAGAATGAGATTGGCTGG